TGCCTTGCTCCTCCTCTGATCCTTCACCTTCATCCCAAGGCCCTTTGCTAGAGTTTGAACCAGAGCCATAGCCGTCTTGGATGATTTTTTCTTCTCCTTCTTGACCTTCGGACCTGGTCCTTTCTTCACTGCCTTGGTCACGAGGTCCTTCAACACTCCCCGCCGCTTGTCCTTGATCATCCTGGTCTCCTCGCTCGAGCTCCTCAAAATACCTTCTCTTGTATCCTCCTCCAAATGGTCTCCTTCGAACTCTTCTGCCGGTCTCCCACTCTTCAATGGCTTCACCTGAAACTTCTCCGCTGCAGGTGTGAAGGCGTCGAAGGCTTTTCCACCAGGCTTCCGTCCTGAATGTCTTGAGGGGCCCTGACCATGACCCATTCTCCTCCTCATCTTGCTGAGCGTCCTCTTTCTCCTCCTCGTCGATCTCGTTGGGCTCGGTCCAAACTCCTTCTTGCTCCTCCAACACGCCACGCGACTGACGGGCACGGTGTGTCCCGGGGGTATCCCGCCCAGTGGGCGTCGGATGCACCCCAGGGCGACCAGCCTCGTCCTCCGACCCTTCTCCATCGTGAACTCCTCCTTTTCCCTTTTTGCTGAGTTCGCGACGACGTTGTTGAAGGGCACGTCCAACGGCAGGGTCCAAGTGCTTGGAGGGGTAGTTCTCTTGTACGAAGTGGCTGACTCTCGTGACATGCCCTCCGTAACCCTCGAGATTGCAACCTGCTTGTGAACAAAGGTGCAGCCATTGTTTCCTCCTGTTGAAGATGTGGGTCAACGCTGGTGTGGATGCAGTATCGCCTCCTGAAAGACAAGCAACCTTCAAACTGCGTCCCCCCGAGTCTCGTGGCAAGACCTCGTAAGCCTTCCACCCCGAAGATCTCCGTGAGCTCGATGATAATTGTTTGCTGAGGTTCGTAGGCCTCCCATGCTGCCGGATCAGTGGCGAGGTCAAACACCTCTCCTTCTTCGATCGTGGCAGCTTTCTTCCTCTTGCTCATAGTTTCCTCCTCAGCGAAGAGGCTCACGCCTCTCCACCAACGTAGCGCCTAGCGGGCGATGTGTCTCCCGGACGTTCCCAGCGGTGTCCCGTTGAGTGTGCCTCTGATGCTTGGTGCCTCCTCGATGTTTCTTTCGACGCTCAGGTTGTGGCTCCTCCTCGCTCTCTTCTTCAAGCACCTCCTCTTCAGCTTCCTCACGCTCACGTCGGGCAGGAGGAGGCCTCGGGGGCGTGCGAGGTCGCTTCACCTCAGACTTGGCCTTGGCGGTAGCTCCAGTGGCGTTGGATCGCCTAGGATCAGGAACCGGGGAGGTGCTCGAGGACGATCACGATCAACTGTCTCCTCCTCGACCTCTCTGTTAGCGGCCTTTCGAAGCCCGCGAACCGTGCGCGCGGCGCTGAGGAGACAATCCTCGGCCAGCGCTCAGAAATCACGGTTTGGCCACTCACGTCGAAGGTCGGTGCTGGCAGCCTCTATCGAAGAGCAGCCGATGCACCAAGAGTCTCCTCGAGCACGTGACCCCACTCGGCACTTATTGCACGTGCCGAACATGGGCCCAGTCCCAACTGGTAAACCCAAACGGCCGCGGGCGAATCGTGACGAGCAAACCGTCTTGTTAGACTACATTGAGGAAGCGCCTTTTGGCTCCGAAGGGCCGAATCTTGATGCGTCGATTTTTTGCAGCAAGTGGGGCATTCTGTGGATTTTGCGGCGCGGATTCTGTGGCAAGCGCGGCACTTTGTGGACCTTGATGTGCTGATTTCGTTCCAAGCGACAAACATTGTGAGCCTTGCAAATTCCTAGCCGGCTCAAGCGGTGCATTTTTCGCGCCGGTGAAGCACGGAGCGAACCTCGATTGCCAGATAGCGTCACGAGTCACAAGTACAACACTTTGTGAACGTGGACGCGCACACAAGCAAAGCGCTTTGTGAACCTCTAAGTGCAAATTTTGTGGCTGCAAACACCACATCTTGTGAATGTGAGGGTGCAAATTTTGTCGCGAAGCCTATGCTACACGTCACGCGCAGCTGTCGTGGCAGGTGCAAAAAATTAATGTGAAGTTTGAAAAGTGGCTTTGGTGGCAGGCGGAGCCTTGTGTGTGAACCTGAGAAGGCAGACTTTGTGGCAAACAATTTTCTGGCCGGACAATAACCAAAGCCGCTAGTGTCTTTCACCCGATCGCACTCAGCATTTCAGCCTCCGGGGTTTTTCTGTTCTTGTCTTTTTGGATGCATATGGGTTGACACTCAATGTATCCCCAGCCCCCAGCCCCTGTATATGTACTGATCCAGCTGGCATCAATCTGTGGCAACTGCTGGTTAGCTGCGGCGTGCTTGTTTATCGGGCTATCGGTCCTCCCAGTCTTGTGTTTCTTTGTTTTCGTATCTTGCAGTTGTTTCCTTATTTTTGGGCCCGCTGTGCCTGTAGCAGTGGGATAGGTCTGTCTTGATTGGCTGGTAGACTGAAAAGAAGTGCGCGCGAAAAAACACTGGCCACCACCACCAGTTGACGCCAAATTTCGAACAAGGACACGCGGTCTAGTCTAGAGTAGCGCGTTGGCCATACCCTAGCCCATGCACAGGATTGCACCTAATTTTGCTTAAGCCCCGCACATCGCTCTTTAAGGTAGAGAAGAGAGGGCCCAAGGCGTGGTCAAGCAGGACATGCCTGGACAAGTGTGCAGTCAACAAATCGAGGAAGTAGTTTGATTCCTCACTGTTTCAGCCGTTGCTTTTGGGCGTTTGCGTTCACCTCCGTTTTTCGTTGCTGACGGCCTTTCGATGTCTTTTCGTGACCATCGTGTTTTCAGTCCGCATTGGGAATGCTCCAGCTCCGTGAGGCCAGTCTTTCTCCGACGTTGCCCCAGCCAAACGCACACCATGAAGACGAGAAGCGCACACCGGTCATGGCCTTTTTGTTTGACCCATGCAGTATGAGATGGGATAACACGGTCATCCTAAAGCTCCTCTCTTCCGCATCCAGGCCCGCAGAAAATCCGCGGTCTGCGCACGACCCGATTCGCCGGCGTGCACACAAGCTCGTTGAGTGGAGGCTCTTGTCGTCGGAGGGCTGCCGTGATTCAGCAACAACGGACGAGTGCACAGGGCCAGGCATGGCAAACAACTAAGGAGGAGGGCACAAAAGCATACAAAAGCTGCATAGGAAATGCTTCAGAGATGAAGTGGACGAAAAGCAATTTGACGCCATGTGTTTTTTGAATGAACGGCATTTCGCTTGACGAGTCACAGTCCGGCATAGGTTTTCATGGTTGCATTGTGTCCGCCACGCCCGCCACGCTCCACAACAGTGAGTGCGCGCGTGCAGCCAGAGGCTTGTTTTGAGCATGAACCCAACAACCACTGTGTTTTGATTGAACAGCAAGTGCCCAGTGTGTGTGTGTGTGTGTTCCGACACCAAATGCAACAGGCATTGCCAAAGGAGTCAAGTTCCTCCGGACTACACCAAACAGCGCGAGACACTCCGGGCAGCACGACACGGGAGCAGTGTGTACAAGGGTGACATCGCTGCACAATGCTATTAATGGATAAGGATTGTGGTCTGTTCTCATTGCTTGTTCCTGGCTTCTGCACAGCCTGGGTGATGTGCTCAATGCTGTCCAACGTTCCGGACCAGTTTGGGCAACAGGCTCATGAACAATCGCAGCTGTGCAATAGGTCAAAGGGCATCACAAAGACAGCACAAGCACTGGCCGGCACAAAAAATCTTGGACACCCACGACAAAAGTTGCGAGGTACATTAGATCCATCAACCACTCAGTGGAGGGTGTTGCTGAGGAACAAGTGCGTAGAACTCGTGAGAAGCACCACGGAAGCGACACAAAATGTGTCGCCCAAGCGCACTCTCAACACTGCGCTCCTTTTTGAACTTTCAGGTATGACAACCCATCAATGCACAGCCGCATGCTTGGGGCTATCTGAGGTAGAATGGACAGCCTTGGGCTGCCACTAGTCACAGTCTTGCTGGTCCGTCCCTAGGTCACTTCAAGAAAACATGCGGTCTGTGGCACACCTCTGGTGTACTCCCACTAGAGTCACTAGACAGAGTCAAACATAGGAACGCAAACCAGCAAGAATGACATGAAGAACCCCAAAAATCGAGGAAATGCAACTGGAGAACCTCCAGGCAGGAAGCTGATTAACGGTCTAACGAGACCCGGAATCAGCGGGTCGCGTTTCTTTGGACCTGGCGTCCAGATTTTGGACCTTTGCACACACATTCTCGCAGCCATGGCTTCAGCCTTTCGAGAATGCGACAGTGCCATGGGCAGCCATCTCATCAAACAAAGAATCGGCTCAATTGCACCAAGCAAATCATCCGAAAACATCAAACAAATCAAACAAGGAGTGGGATGAACCATGAACGGAAAGAATCCACCGCTTTTGTTCGATGTGTCACTGCTGCAGGAAACGTCCTAAATCTCAGCAGCGATGACCCCACTCAGGCCAGCTCCCGAAGTCACCACACAGCCCATTTGAGGTCTCAAAGTAAAAATGGAATTCCCGACCGCGACTGTGAGGGAACCGACCGCGCCAGAATCTCGGTCGCCGAAGAATCGAACGGGTCGCCTGTTCGTCCCAGGTCGCATGTCATCGGCTGAATCGCTGCTGTGTAACGACACCCCAGGAGACTCACCAGTCTACGGGCATGCCACTCCCACCTGAAACAACACTACCTGCAACCTCCCCAGAACAGCACTTCCGAAGCACCGGAAGAGGTGACTACCCGCATCGGCTACCCTGCCATCCAGCTTTGATGCAACAGCTAAGTGCGCAATTGCAAACCTGGCCTAGCAGATCTAGCGGCACTAAGTTTTTGTTCGCGAAGGTGACTTCGGGCGAGGCTGAAAACTTCTCGAAACACCACAAAGCCGCGAAGCAAAACAGAGCTCAACTTGGCTGTGCAATGATAAAGTTTCAAGTTTCAAGGCATTGTGAGTCCAGAAAAGGTTCCAAGGCACGTCTAAAATTACAGGAGGTTTGCTCACTGACCAGGGCTCATGTAGCACACCCGGCGCATCTGGCAGTCAAATGCAGGCTGAGAGATTTATATAGAGACACCACAAAGGCAGTGTGTCACAAAGAGACTTCCTGTAGGAAATGAGCCAATGGATGCCATCCAAGCATGTACTGTAATTCTGTTTTAGCACTTGGGCTCAAGAAAAATGTTGGGCTGCACACTCCAAAAGCGGTATAAACTATACAAAAACAACGAAAGCAGTCTGTCTTGACAAACTCCTTCCAGCCATCCAAAATGACGGAGGACAGAATGGTCAACTGCAATAGACACGATCAACCTTCCTCACAACTTCCCATCCAATTCGACCCCCACAGGCAAGGCTTTCATAGAATTTTTGCTCCCAAAGCGACAGCTGGCCTTTAAAGTCTCCTCATCCAACTGCATCTTTGCTTCCCATCGAAGCCGCTCGGCCTCTGAACTCGAACCTGGCCACAGAAGTGTCGAACATGGCTTGCTGGGATAACCACAGCATTATGCAAAGCATGATGCAAGTGATAAATCCCTGTTTTCTGGCTACAAATGTGAATGAAGTGTGTAAAATGAAGCAACCAAAGGAAGACTTCCTCAAGGAGGCTTCTTGAATAACTTCCTGAACTTCATCTTCACTGACACTTCCCACCTGTACGGCCACAGGCGGGAGCAGACTGACAGCGCCGCCTGTTCTGCGGCGATGCGTCCGGCTGCCTCCGGCTGCGTCGTGGGCAGGCCGAGACATCTTGAGCAACTCGAGACATCTTCAACTTACGCGAAAGACGTGGAATTCAACAGTTTATTGACCAATGGTACCAGTGCCTCGTGCCAGCTGTGAAAGGTGGGGTGCGCACTGCCCCAGCAGTAGCAGGCCGCCTGCAGCGTCAAGTCTCGTTCTACCCTGTCATTTGCTGTGTCAATTGAAGGAGTCTAACTTCAAGAAATCGCCTGAGTCCAACCCACCTATGTATATTATGTATATATATATATATATGCTCGTGTTTTTTGTGTGTCTTAGGCTTGTTGTTCTTGTTCTAGTTCACACTTTTTCAAGATCAGCACGTCCATCATTGTCTCCCTCAATGTAGTAAACGTCCTGGAGCTGCTCGTCGTCGACGGTCGTGAGCCCGTTGACGTCGCTCCGGCTGATGCTGGGCGCCTGTCGACGGTCGCACACCCGGCGGCTGAATAGACTCGTCCATTGGCAGAGTCCAACGGCGCCTGTTCTTGGGATCTTTGAACTCGGCTCTGTACGAGGTGGACGGCCTTTGCGAAGAACAAAAGAAAGAGCGCCAGTGCAATTCGTGGAACGGCCCTGTGGCTCATCGTTCAAGTCCCTCTAACATGGCTCTGAAATTTGGATACTTCGGCAGACCTTCAGCGACATCACAGACCAAAGAGCCAGCTGAAGTTCCTCTCCAGGCCGCCGCACGGGTAACTCCGGATTCCCAAGAAAAGGTTGGGCCTCCGGCTCCAAGGGTTATGATGCAATGACTTGAAGACCACAAGGCAAGACACCTGTAGAAGTGAAAGCATGATGAACTCATTAACTCTGCAAATATCTGCAAACTACCTTTGTTTCCAACCTAAGAGCCGTCTCACCAACCAAAATTCACCAAGCTCAAAGCCTTGAACACCGACTTCGTGACTTCGCCTTCAAGACACACTCCCGCCTCGGCGGCTTGGCGGCTTCACTGGCGAACCTGAGGAGAAGCAAAGCGGACGCCCCAAGAAATGGACTGGGACCTGGCAGGCGTAGGCGCAGAAGGGGATCCCGGATCCATGAAATCAGACTAGACTGCCAAACAAACGCGGACACTCGCGTAGTACAAGCGAGCCCCGCACCGAACTGGCAAGCCAAAGACGTCGTGCGTCACAGACCTGCCCAAGTGTTCTGTGTACCCAACGGGTGTGGACTAAGACCTTGGTTCTTGGGAAACCACTCCAACTCATCAAATCATTCCATGGGGGCATCGTGGGCATCGTGGGCATCGCACCGGTCCATTCTGTCACAAAACAAACATTGCCAACAAACGTCAAAAGGCATTTCGTTCGACCACTGTTCACGGCACCTCTTCTCCAACAAGTCCCCTCTGGGGAGAGTGTGGGTGCGGCCCACCTGCAGGATGGAGCTTGAATTGGTGGATGAATTGCTGGAAGAGTTGGCTCAACGAGTTTGCTCAACAGTATCTATATATGGTTGTAAGAACCCATTGGAGATGGCCATGTGAGTAGCCCCGCGAAACCCCTTTATAGGCTAAAGGAACCACGGGGGGGCCGAGCCACACCACAGAATCTGTCAAATCATCAAATGCTGCTGTCTGAGGAAAGAAGCTCTTGTTACTGTTACATGTTAAACACTCTGCTCACGGCAACTGCGACTCTTCATCGAACCTCGTTGCTTAAACGGCCATTATGAGATCTCCTTTTGCGGGTATATACAGTAGGTTGAATAAATGATTTCATCATGGTCAAGGTGCATTCGGCAAGCTATTCCGGTAAACCTACAGTATGTCTTCGTGGTCACATCGATCAGGAAGCCTTTGGTTTGCAGCTCTTCTGCTTTGCGTGGCGCACCTGAACCAAGGAATGACAAACAAACAGCCTAGAAACGTGTTTGACACCACTCCAAACCCAGGATGCGCTTTCGGTGGCTCAACGGAAGATACCTCTCATACTCTCTAGCCAATTATCTGCAACACCCGTAACAAATCCACCTCGCTGGCGCTCCAACTGTGAAAGTCATCCTGGTTCAGGTGCAAGTCAATCAAGGAACTGCGTGTATCCGCGCGGCTCAGCTAGTCACGCGCGCTTTACACTGACCCGAACATCGACTTCCAAAAACAAAACAGCATGTGCAGCATGTCGGGTCGTCGGGTCCTTGTTGGATGTGGAATCATTAAATTTTGCCGCTGTGGTGCCTCAGCCCCATGCCAGAGCTGCCTTGCGCAGTGGATGGTTTGACAGGTTACACCAACTCTTACTTGAGGAAACGCAACTCCAAGCTAGCTGATTGTTCTGAGGCTTTATGTACACACCGAGGAGAATTAGCTGTAACATCTGAGCAATGGACTGGCAAATCCAGGACTGCTTCGCAGTTTGTTCTCCTAAACGAACCAGTCGCGTGGCGATTACAAACCCAGCGAGAAGCTATGCGCGGCTCCACAAAACCTGCCGAATTCCGTTGTTGGTCTGGGACGCACGTGGGTCTCCTTTGCCAAAGCTTTGGTGACAGGAGCATCATCCAATGGAAGTACCTCACGAAGTGCGCAGTCAACCATCCGAAAAGAACGCTGTCCAACAAGACGCCCGAGACTTTCTTTCTGACACGGTCTGCGACTGTGACTGCTTGTGCGCCGTCCATACTGCAGCAGTCCCCAAAGACCTAGTATTGAACTGTGAAATTCTTCACGGCTAGGCCATCTGGCCACATAGTCGGTGTAGTAGTACACAGAAGATCGATCCAGTAGAGGAGCCCTTGGCCGGATGAATGGGAGAAAGTTCAAATCCATCCTTTTATTCCAACCTAATACCTCCAACCTAAAAGCCATGGCCTCCAACCTAAAGCCGATGGCCTCCAACCTCAAAGAACTATACAAAGGGCAACCATCTATCATCTATATATGTTGTTGAATGCGTCCTACTTACCAAACTGAAGGACAGCAGTGGCTGGCATGGGTTCTGGGTAGGCGATTCCTTGCAGTTGCTTGAGGACAAGGATAAAAGCGATGCACCGCACTCAAACCTGCTATTTTTTCTGACCAATGGCGGCTGCTTGTCGCCTCCATTTGAGGTCTTTACCAATGTTCTGCCCAATTTTTTGGGAGAGCTTTGAGAGCACCGAAGCAAAGCTACCCTTAGGAGCCAATCCAGCGTCCTTCACCTGCTTCCAGGAAGGCACAGCTAGAGCACTGTAGCACCAACAAACTACAGCAATTTCAACGAAGCACATTGCACTAGCAAACGGTGGCGAAAAAGAAAGATGCGACTTTCCCACTCTGTGCGAGAGGCGCACAGCAAGCTGAGCAGCTATGGCTCAGAGATATCAGTGACGACCCAGCCCGAGGAAGGACCTCACTTGTGTCCAGTCACAAACATCAGTCGGTTTGTGACGTCAGGTGCCTAAAGCTGTGGGGATGCTGCCGAAACAATACGAGTTTCATATACTGTACATGTACATATATACATATATACCTGGTACACGGTATAGACAGGCCATACAGGGGCTGATGTACCCTCGTGGAGGGGGCTGCAGCACCATTCATATATACCGCGCATTGGAAGTACATTGGCGACCATTTTTCAGAACCTATCCGATCTATCCCTCTGGCCTGGAATGTTCGGCAAATTTGCTGGCTCTCTATCGGGAGCAGGGCCGTCTTTAGCAGCCCAGCATTCCTTATTGTACTCTTCAATGAGGGTGTCCTTGTGCTCCTCAAGTTGGGACAGGCTGATGGGTCTAAAACCGGATCCAAAAGACTATGACTCAAAAAAAAGCCATGACACCCTATGCTTGATTAGCAATTTTTACACATCTCCTCAACTTATGAACCCCTTCTTCAATGTCCTCGGTCCCTTGCAGCAAGTACACCGAATGGCCAATCCGGAAGAAACGCCAAAAGCGACCCAAGATGAGCAGTGCAATCAGAGGAGAAACCGCTCCGCTGGAGATGCTGGCCTTTTGACCCAGGGTCTGCAAAGGGTTTTCCAGCTGTCCCAGCGAGGGACTGGCGAGGCTGAGGATCTCAGTCCCCAGCGACAGTAGGACGACCAGCAGGTCGAAGGGAAAAAATAGAATCCTGAAGTAGTTGCAGCGGAAGGCAACGATAAAGAGAACATTTTCCAACAAAAATATGCAAAGGATGATCATGCTCATCACAATGAAGACATGGTCCAAGTTCTCCAAGCTTTCTGCAAACTCGTACTCCGACTGTTCCCTTACACACTGAAGACCACCATTCGTGTGAGAAAAGTCGTGATGATGCTGAAGGCTCTCAGAAAGGTTGCTTTCCAAAGCTGCACTGAAACAGTGGCCAATGGCCATGCCCTGCAGTGCCACAACTTCGATCTTAATTTGGAGTCCTGCCATCACCAGTAGTGTATCAATCAGTAGCAGAACGATCAGGCCGTAGTGCAACGCTCTGCCAAAAAGAACTCGTACCAAGGCAGCTCTGCAGGACTTGGAGCTTAGGTGGAGATCTGGCAAAAGGTACTCCACAGCTCTGGCAAGCTCCGGAAACTCTGGAAGATGAACCTCTGCCGCTCGTGCACCAATCATCAGCAGCTGCTCTCGGGCGCTGAGATCGTGCAATCGGCATTTGAGATCGCGAACACGTTCTTCATGTTCTCTCAGTGGCTCGGGTCGTGGTTGCTTGCTCGGACAAGACATTCCGGCATGCACGCTCCCCCTCTCTTCAAGAGATCGATCTTTAAGAAGTCAAGTGCTCTTTTTATTAACGACCCAAACAAAAGGAATGAAACCTTTGTTGTTTTATTCACTAATGACTAATGCAACCTTGAACCTTGAATCTGTTGCCAACCTTTCTGTATACTTCTTGTATGACTGTCCTCAACATGTACGTAACATATGAAGCACCGGTTCGCTGGTAGAGTTATCTTTTAGTGCGATAAAGTCAAGCAGCTATTTCTATGTTGCCAATGATCAGGCCAGGCCTGAAGAACCAGAATGCAACGGAAAGTTGACAGAAATGCTGTTTTCACGACTTTGTTCTGTTGGAAGCTTTACCGCAGCGCACCAACGAGCCACAAAACGGTTTCGCCCTGGAATCCCATCAACGAGGTTTCACTTCACGCAGGCTCCCACCAATGGGCCTGTCAACACCGTCCAGACCTTCCAGAATAATCCAGAAGACCTCGCTCCGCTGCACGTCTCCGTGCCTCTTCTTTTGGTACTGGAAGTACTTGCCATTTCGCTGGCCAATACCATGCCTGGGCCGCCGTCTCGCAATCGGTTCAATGGTTGGACCTGTTGTGAAGAAGGCGCGATCTTTGATGCGTTTTTGGTTGGGTGCGTACGCTTTTGGTTTTGCCCTGTTTCTATTTTGCTCAAAAGCGATCGGAGGTAGATCTTCGGAAGTTCCTCCGAACGGTGCCCCCCTTGATGCCGCACTGTCTCCCTGTCTCCCCTCCCTGTCTGAGGGTCTCGACACTTCGATGAAATTCTCGCCCTTGCCCTGCCACAAGAAGTGTACAGGCTCTGAATTTCTCAAACTGAAAAGCTGGCTCCCCAGTCCTTGCAGAGTATACCTGGCCTCAGACAAGTCCTTGAAAGCGGTGAAAGCTTCGGCTGCTGTGGTAGTAAAATAGAGCTGTCTGGCCTAGCAGGGCTAGAATCCATTTCACTCAATCCGTGATTGGAACTGAAGGAACTAGTTCCAGGCACGGGTACAGCGAATATGCAAAAAGAAAGCAAGGATAGAAACCAAACATCAGGAGTGTCGTTGTCATGTTTGAACCCTCAACCTGGCCTGTGCAGCATCCACTGTGGGACACGGCAGCAACCTTACAGCAATTGAAAGAAACTGCCATTGTCAATGTCGCATGGGTTAACTCGTGGTTCTGGCCTTGACGCTTCCAAGACTTTGGCCATGTCGGTGCTTAGCTGGCTTCTTTTGCGCTTTCCTGGTTGACTTTTGTCTGCTGCACCTTTCTTTTGATGCGTTCACAAATTGACAGGCTCAACAACCATTGTCTGTCCCAAGTACTGGCAAGGGTCATTGTGAAATGTTGACCATGTGCATTTGAGTTTGAGGAAACAAACTGCAGAGAGACCATTCAATGTCATTGATCAAAATTCTTTGAGCCATCCAAGCCCTGTTGTCGTCTATGCCTCCACAAAACACCCAAAAACAAAAAAGAAAAAAACAGATGGTTTCAAAAAAGGATTGTGTCAGTCTTGAAGGTCGTGACACAGGGGTGTAAAATACAGCAATGCTTCAAGATAGTCTCTTGACAAAATAAACAAAAGTCTGTCCAACTGACTCATAATAAACCCCCTAATCAAACATATTGACATTGACCACGGGGAGACTCGCGTGTAGAATGGCGAGCGTTGTGGAAGCAACTGGCAAGACAGGTGGATGCGTGAGGACGGTCAACAGACCGCTGGGGGACTTGGCCAACCCACGCACCGCCGGGCGGTCGCTGGAGTTGGGAAATCCCTTGGTGGCTACGCCGCCCAGAAACGTTCTTCCAAATCTTCCAACTCTGCGCAACGTAACTCGGCCCAATTTGTTTCAGAGGTGCTCGTGAGGTGCGCGATCAATGGTGGTGCTGATGCTACTTGGGCATCCTTGTAAAAAGTCCCTGTCATCGGCGATTGGGATCAAGTGGAGGCACGCGAACACAATAGAAAAGCAAGGTCCATGTGTTTCCACGCTGCATCCACGCTTTAAGGGTCCAGGTACCGCTTTATTCTTGGGGAGTCGTTGTTGTTGTGTAACACCCCAGCAACACCTTCTCTTGAAAAGGGCAGCTTGTCTAAACCACAACAATCCTTGCCTGCCTCTGAACAGCCTTGCACCTGTTGCCTGGAGAACTCGCTTTTTGCTGAGGGAAGGAAGGGGTCGCTGCAATGGCCGAATGGAGGCACCGAATGGCCAAACAATGTGTTGCATGCTAGGACGGCGGCTTGACGAGGTTTTGGCACGTGCCAAAAAAAAACAAGGCAAACGCGTCCCCTGGCCTGTGGGATGGTGGATGTGTTAGCATAACGGCCGAGCGTCGCTCCATGCATCGGACAGAAACTCTTGAGATTGGTTCACTATCTGTTCCGAGCACTCAGGTTGCTCGTAAGAGCAAGTAGCCGAGTCAATTGAATTGCCAAGCACAGAAAATACTAGCAAATCGAGTCTGACTGCGAACCAAGGTAAGGTTGCCTCATGGGGCAGCCGTCGAAACCAACCACCTTGAAGACTACAACTCTTTCAAGGCAAGTTTTTCCAAACAAAACCAGCAAACTGAAGCATCGACAAAACTACAAAACACACAACATATTTTGCATTCACTCTTTGTGTTCGATGGTGATATGAAGTATGAACTGGGCGTCTGTGATGTGTTGATGCATGAGGTGATGGACAGCCGTGTGATGGACAGTTTGTGACGTGTTGATGTGGTTGTAGCAAAGTAATTTGTGAGGTCTACCTCGGCAGCACGGTGGAAATCGGTTTGCGATCCGGTGTAGTGCAAAGTAGCTCCGTAAGGTGTGATGTGGTGAAATATTAACAAATCTGGGTGATAATCTGATGGTGTGCAATGAGGTTCAATGTAAAATACGGTCTTTGGCGTGATGAAGTCGAATTGCGCTACACTTGTGGTCACCAAAAGTCTTATTTTATCTCCAAAGACGTGCAAGCGTTCTGCTGTTTGAGGCACTCATGTTCAATGTGCGTTTTTGGATTTGTGCAACCAAAGTTCACACACGTCTCCCACATGCGTTGGTCCTTCTTGCTGCAGGGTGGCCGCCTCAGTCCTGGCCCTAGCACTTTGTGAACCTGGACGCGCAGAGTTCGTGACAGGCACAGCACTTTGTGAACCTCCAAGTGTTGATTTCGCAGGCGCAGCACTTTGTGGACCTGGAAGTGCACTTTGCAAACCTTGAAGTGCAGATTTCGTGGCAGACACAGCACTTTCTTAACCTCGAAACGCTGATTTTGTGACAGGCACAGCACTTTGTGAACCTCGATGCGCAGACTTCGTGGCAAGCACAGCACTTTTGTGAACCTCGAGCGCAGATTTCGTGGCAGGCGCAGCACTTTGTGAACCTCGAAGCGCGGATTTCGTTGCAGGCGCAACAGTTTTGTGAGCCTCGAAGTGCAGATTTCGTGGCAGGCTCACACACACTCACACTCACACTCAGACTTTCTCACTCTCCCACTCTCACTCACTCTCACTCTCACACTCACTCTCACTCCTCCCTCTCTCACTCTCTCACTCTCACTCTCACTCTCTCACTCTCTGACTCTTTCACTCACACTCTCACACTCACAGTCAAACTTTGACAATTGGTTTTCAGTTGACTCCCTGAAAACCCTACTATACCTTAAGTAAGTACATTACAAGCGTCCTACACACAAAGTGAGAGCAGGCGCAACAGCTCACAAGCAACGAAAAGCACTCGCGCACTCTCTGGGCCTTGAGCCAAAGTTAAATACAAAAGGCTATGAAAGAAAACACGATCAAAACGATCGAACGCGCCGTTTTCACAGCTAAACCTTGGGCCACTTAAGGCCGGCGAAGTCGAGTCTCAAACTGCACATGTCAAAGGTGGAAATATGTGACACTCCACCTAAAAAGCGACCTGACTGAAGGCCGTCTTTTTCTCTCACACCTCGCCGCTCTCGACGTAGCGGCGCGCTCTCTCTTCGAAGTTGTCTTCCCATTGGCTGGAAAGAACCGCCACGCTGAATGCAGCGAAGTCCCGCTGCTCTTCTTGAGTCCATCCCATGATGTGGTCAAACACCATGGGGTAGTACCGGTTGGCGTAAAGGGAGGTCAAGTGGGTTCGTAGGAACTCCTTCAGCTGGTGGTTGGGGAAAATCCCAGTTTCTTTCAATTTCCTTGGTCTTGGCTTCTCTTCTGGCTTCAGCCATGCAATCAAAGTCTCATAGTCCCACCAGTCAGCATCAACCGGTGGGATCTCATCATAGGGCATCTCGGCCAGTTCTCTGGCTCTGGCGTCAGCTCTTTGGGCACTTTGGGCAAGTTGTTCATCAATGTCCACTTCCATAGGGCTTGCTTCATCTCGCTCGGAGGTCGATGGCCTGTACCTCCTTTGATATCCTCCGAGAGGATTGCTGATGAAGTATTCTTCACCACTCTCTGCATCATCAGAACTTGCCAACAACCGGTATTCTTGTAGTCGTCCAAGTTCTGGATTCCAATCAGTCACCCAGCTTCCAACACAGGTGATCTCTCCTCCAAATGGGTTGTTTCCATTGCCAATTTGATCTTCTCCTTCTGCTTCTGGTTCAGACTCTCCATCTTCTGGCCACATTCGAGTCTCCGGTGTTGCTTCATGACCTAGTTCTTCTGCTCCTTCTTCTGCTGATTCTCTAGGCAGCAAGGGTTCATAGCTCCTTGGTGCGGGATCAGGATGCCACTCACCAATGCCGGCTGCCATGCTTGCTCTCATAATCATACCCACTTCATTCTGGAGATCTTGTTCACGTTGAAACTCCATAGTGGTCTCCTGTCGTAGAAAGCGACTGCATGTTCGGAAGAAAATGGAAATCTTCATTCGAAATCTGTAGCCCAGGTAGATGCCAAAGGCGAACACAAACAGGGTGTAGACGCACGCAATCTTGAAGATCATCCACCCTGTCCACCACTCTCCTTCTTTTGTTTGCAGTCCTTCTCCAACCACTCCTT